CTGCGGTACTCTTTGTTGCTACCGTTGCTTTGGCTGGCGTTGATTATGACTATACAATTCATCAAGAATGAAGAAAAAAAAAATGTTTTACACAACTACCAAAGTTATTGTTGTTGTTTTTTTTGGGAGAGTTCCGTGCGCGTCTTTTAAACAAATTATTTTAACATATTTTGTTAATTGAATATCATCTTTGTTTGTCCATCAATCGAATCGAAATCAAAACAAAAGAAAACGACTTCATTTTTAATGGGATCAAATATTGTCCTTTTCAATCGGATCAAATAAATATATATTGAATCGTTCGTCATCGAAAAGTATGAATTCAAAAAAGACCTAAACAGAGTGGAATCGAATGGAATTTCTTTTGGAAAATCACGCAAATCCATTCGAAACATCGTTAACCCTCAGCGCATATGGACAGACGTTCAAAAGTCATGATTCGGCGGGAATTTCCATTGAAGTGAGACAATGGAACAAATTTCCATTCAAAAACAAACAAACAAAAATTATGCACACATTGTGTGTGAAAAGGAGAACAACACTAACACGCAAAATTTAACATTGAATGGAAATTTGCAAATACAATTGGGAAAATCGTATTCAGCTTTGAATTTCACGATGAATATTCGAGACGAGAGCAAAAAAAACTATGCAAGTTAATTCGGGGAGCGAAAAAAAATTGAGCTACAGCTGAAAAATGTACATATGTATACATATCACAGAATGTGTACAAACGTTGATAAATTATCTGCATCGATTATATAGCTTGGAGCAACCGACTTATATCGCACTCAATTAGACCTAACGAATTTTTGTGTTGTGCTTTCTTTTAGTTTCTCTATCTCTCTGTCCCTTTATCTGACTCTTAAGCGTAGAATATTCTCTTGTTCTTCATATAATCAATTCGCTCTCTCCTTTTCTATTCATTCGATGGGTTCATTTGCTTGTTTGATTGCTCATTGTGTGTGTTTTCACATCGTTTTCGCCTATCGATATTGTAGCCACGTGTGTGATTCTTCATTTACTGTATGTTTTTTATCTGTTCAATCTGTTGTTCTTTGAGTGATATAACATTTATAACGAAATACTAGCTTTTACACACCATAGCTATCGCATTTTTGTTGGTTCGGTTCCTTTTCTCCGATTGTTTATTGTTGTTGAGCTCGTTGAGTTGCTATTTTGCTTGCACTGTTTTTCTTCAAATGACTAACACTTTTCATTCACTACACACAAAACACTTGATTTTCCACCGTGTGATTTCTATTGCTTTTCACGTTTTGTTCGATGTGTCTTCTGATTGTTGCTGCTATATGTGCGTGTTCGATAAAAAACCTTCTTTTTCAATCAAAAAACAACACACATTACTATTTGATCAGTGTTCTTTCATACGTGGTGTTCACTTAAATTGTATGGCGTTTTTTGTGATGTTGCACATAAAATGAAAATTTATTGTCTTTTTTGTTTGATGATTTAATCCACACACCGAACAATGAAAATGAAAAGAGAGAGAAAAAAAAATATCGTGAATATATGAAAATTACGATGAAAAACTAGGCAAGTAAAAGGAGAAGAAAAAACAAACAGAACACAACACAGTTGAATATAGATAGCGATTTAAACAAAAAAAAAAACACAAATCTTTTTTTTTTTTTACTATTTCGAAACTAGAGTTAAATAGAATTTTTCACTTTACAACACAATTATAAACGCGCGTTACACATTAAACGAGCAGTGTCTGTTTTCGTTTTCAGTTCTCGCACTCTTGTGAATGTAAAATTTTCGTTCTTAGTTTTCTTGCTCTCACACACGAAATTGCTCGGTCACACAGAGTACTGTGCTGTGTGTGCTTGTGCTACTGCCTGCTTCTGCCTGCTTTTGCTTATTCGTATTCTTCTTCTTCTTCTTCTTATTCGTTTTTCCCTTGCTGCGAACACTTTTTTTTTTCTTTTCTCGACAATGTATTGTGTGTGTATGTGCACTGGCTATCTCATTCTCGGATTGTTCTTGTTAAGGTTCTCCTGTGAGTGCTCAGTGTAAAATGTTAAACAAGCGCCTGTATAGTCGTTGCCTATATCAATCGCGCGTAATATGAAGTATATGAGTGTGTGGATTGCGCTTGTGAAAATGCTTTACATATTCTATCTCTATCGATAGAACGACTGTCTCACTCGAACGCCCTTTTTCCACCTAACCTGACATTTCGTTCCCGATTTTTCATTGCATTGCGCGTGAGCAACATCAAGCACACATATATGATTTTGGAGACTTTTTTATGCGAACATCGCTGATCAGCGCCATCATGCATGATATCGGTGAACTCAATTTAGTTCGGTATCATGAAAAATAATGTGCTTTTATATTTTAAAACCAAAGATGATAGAAAATTATTAAAGTTTATCATAGTAAACACCAAATTAATTTGGTTCTACTTCACACTGTAAACAAACAAGAAAATATAACAAATTGAAATACTTTTCGGAACACACAATAAACAATGTGAACGTAAAAAAAATATTGTATTGATTATTATTTTAAGCAAGTAATATTTTTCATTTATTTAAATTATTTTTTATCCTTAAAATCGACATGATTTGAATTTTTGAACAATAGTTTTTGTTATATAATTTTTATTTATTATGACTAGTAAGCGGGTGGTTATTTTATTTCTCTCCACAATGTAAAATACGTAGAATGATTATACGTATTGTATATTAAATAAGACACGTAATCACACTTGTCAAAATCGACTTGACAAGTCACACACGAATGCCGCTTGTTTACATTTTGAAGCCGCTGTAAATAGCGTTGTGAGAAATGGTATGAATAAAATAAATAAATAATTAATTAAATAGATTTTATTTGCTAAAACTAACATCTAATTTCGATAAAAAGATTGGTGAAAAGATTGGTGATTTGATTGACGTTGATTCCGGTATGATATAAAAAAAGAGTACTTTAAAAAGAATAAAATGAGAAGCGATTATAATTTTTCGAACTTTGGACGCTTTTGATGATGAACATTTATTGCGCTCTATTCTTTTTTCATTGTAATAAATGTGTTTGTAGTTTATTCGCGTTACTGCGATTTACCATAATTTCGCCGACATCCTAAAATTAATTGGTGTTTGCGCCAATGTAAAAGTCCATGGGATGTCCGATATTTTAAGCTTCTTCCAAACACTTTCATGTTCGTCGTAGACAAGATCGGCTCTGGTTTTAAGTAAAGACCGGAATCAATGACGAAATTCGATGTTAGTTTTGGCAAATAAAATCTATCTAATTAATTATTTTATTCTTACCATTTCTCACAAAGCTATTTACAGCGGCTTCAAAATGTAAACAACCGGCATTCGTGTGTGACTTGTCAAGTCGATTTTGACAATTGTGAATACGTAAAATACATTACATACAACTACAGAAACAATATAACAATCTCTCCCATCTCTCCCAGTCAACAGATGGCGTTAATGTATACCATTCGCAATATGAGTCTTCATAGTCTATACTGCTTGGAGCAACATATCAATTGTATGCTTTACATCGTATCAAGTGCACATTTATCTGTATAAAGTAGTGTGTGTGTGGGTGTGTGTGAGTGAGTGTATGGGATTGCGAGGCAACTGCTTCGGTTTCACTTTTTTCGTTTTCTCTTCTCTTTCGTCAGCATTGTATTGTTTGCTGAATGAAATGCGAATGAAAATTTCGTGCGATTCACAATATTATATCGTACACACATTTGTCGATTGAAAGAAAGTCACTGACGCTCTGTTGTCGCCTAGGTTGTCTTACGCGCGCAATAAGACAGAGCTTTGGCATATTGCTATTTGTCGATTGAAATATACACAAAAGAAAGCAATTCGGATATTGATACCGTTTGATTTTATGGAAATACTGATTAAATATAATTCTCTCTCTTTCGACCGTTTTTCGTTCCACACACGCATCGTTTCTTTTTTTCGCTCCCTTTTGCGATATTCATAATTGGCTGTTGTTGCAATTTGTAGCAAAGATATATATATATATTAGGGTGGGTCAAATTTTTTGTCGATGTAGCGTACACGGTGTTATTTGGATCATTTTAAGAATTTTTGCGCAAGAAACCACATATCTAAAATGAATTTCGAGCCAGCGGTTTTTTCTTCTTAGTTTTTTTCCAAAATATTTAAAAATCGACTTAGATGTTGTATGAAAAAGACAAGAAAATAATATTTTTGCTCTAGCCAAATGTGCATGCGGGGTTTTATTGGTACGAGGAAGCCGAATCCGGCCTTTGTTTTGCGATACAATCACGTTAAAATACACTTTCCCTACAAAAATATACTTTTTTTGACAAAAATCCATCATCGTGTACTAATAATGCCACATCTATTCAAAGTTTATAGGTGTTTTGTGGCTAAAAACATTTTTAGAGTAATAATAATGCAATGAAATCTTGTATTTATAGTCATTTGAACGTTCATCATAGCTTGAATATCGGGAATTTCATAGAAATCAAGAGTAAATGAACAAATGATCAAAAAGTGTTCACAAAATGATTTACATTCAAAGGAAAATCAACTTTTCAAACTGTTCTAACTGCTCAATTCGATTCATTTCCATCCAATAAGCAATTCTAATGCCCCTAGAAAATAACCTGAATCGATTTTTATACAGCCATAGTGACTGATTTGCATTTATGTTTTTAACTCGCAATATCTCGAATGCACACTTTTTAAGTTCATTTGCGAATGTATATTGGAGGGTTTTTTGACCCGAAAAACTTGAATCTGACATTTATTTTGTGATAAAATGAATTTCGGACACGATCGGATTGGTCGAACTAGCATTGGTGTAGTCCGACAGGTTCACGAGATTTTCAGGTCAAAATATGCATTGTTTAATCAGGTTTAATCGGTGTCATTTGTTCTTATTGTTTTATTTCTTGACTGCTCTTAGGCTAATTTTGTCCGCTGATTTTGAATATGATCTTAGATTCGTAATTTGTAATCATTCGATCGAACAAAATTCCATTTTTTGACGAACATTTCCAAAAAATGGCCGAAAATTGATTCCATTCTTTTGGAACGGAATCCATGAATTGCCTGGAAAATGGGAAAAAGTAGTGGCTAGCGATGGACAATACTTTGAATAAAAAAATGTGTACCATCCTCTTGAAATAAATGCCCAATTTCAGTGAAAAATCCTTACGTTTTAATTTATACTTCCAATAGATATGCGTAACTTTCATTAGAAGAAACCTAAATGCCCTGTTGAGTCATAAGGGGTGAATATCTCATTGCGAAGTTACAATGAAATGGGGTATTTTCACTTTTCGACCCGAATTAAAGGTTCAAGTTAGATGGAGTTAAACATAGGTCAAGGGAGATTGACAATGTATGGGGTCTATAGGTAATTTTTCACGAGGAATCCGAATATGTAATTATTTTGGGGTTAGATGGGGTATGGACCCAATTTCGGGGTATTTTTCGAAATTTTCGTAAATTTTGTAGGGGGCCCCTTTTGGGGTGATGGGAGGGGATCAGCAATGGCCTAAATGAAATGTGCGGATAAAATTAGTTGTAGTTGGCCATACATTTGAGTGCAAAATTCCTCACCCAAAAGGTGAAAAATCGACTTTGTATCATTTTACCCCAATCTCTGAGTTGTTGGGAGACTTGGGGTGAATGGGCACGAGACAAATATCATTTCTAGGGTAATTTAGGATGTTGATTCCTAGTTTCGAGGTTTCGAGTAAAAAAATCATATCTTGGGGGTTTTTGACCTCCCGACCCCTCTGGGGGGTGGAGGGACTTGGAAGGCAGGGCCCCCCTCATGGTATGGGCACCCCCTATTTTCACATACTTATTTTTTCGCCACTTCATATCGATCTGTACTAAGGAAATTTAAAACTTTTATTAACACTTCGATATGTTTACTGGTAAGAAGAAAAAACCGCTGGCTCGAAATTCATTTTAGACATATGGTTTCTTGGGCAAAAATTCTTAAAATGATCCAAATAACACCGTGAGGGGGTACGCTACATCAACTTTTTCGGCCCCCTACAAATTGACCCACCCTAATATATATATATATATATATATATATATACGCAAAAGATATATATATATATATATATATATATATATATGATTGAAATGGAAAACGAGCGTTGAGTCAAAGCGTTGTAAAAGAGGCAGAAAAGGTAAAGGAGACAACATAAACGAAAAGTACGCAAACAATGTAAGCAATTTTGTAAGTTCGTTGGAGACCAGAAACAATGCGCATATTGAATTGAATTTGAAAATTAAGGTTCCACAACATTTTTCTTTCTTTTTTATTTCGATCGAAATAAAAAAAAAAGATGAACGCAAAAGAAGAAAAATGTTGAAAAAGAATGAGTAAAACGAAAGAAAACGGAACCGTTTGCCTCGAACACGAAAATTTACATACATTCACATTTTTGGTTGTTGGCATTTCGCTAAGTGTAAAGAACACTCAGGCACCGCACTCTTGTGTATGCTTACAATGATTTTGAGGGCAATATTAAGATAGATTTGTGATATATGTTATAGATGGATACAAATGGCATAATGTTGCAAAGCAACATGGCTGAATCAACTTTCAATGTAAAACATTTCAACAATTGAGCACTTGGTGCTTATGTGTGTATACTTCTTATTCTGGACATATTCAGTTCAACAGCAAAAGAGAGAGAGGAAGAAGGAGAGAGAGAGAAAGAGCAGGAAAGAGAGGTCAATTTCGATGTCAAAAACGGAAGAAACATACTATATTTCAATCGAATACCCACATTTAACATCTTCGGCCTAGTTTTTACACCATTGAAATGATGGAAAGAATACATAGACACACAAAAATACTGACGCGTACATTACATGAGAATTTATTTGTATGCCAGAAAATGTCAGCACACAAGTACCATATTTTAGATTTTCTATGTTGCTATGTTTTCCCTGTCGAAATTTTGTACAGAGAATTTAAGAAGTACACGACGTACAATGGTCGATATACTATACCAAAAT